CGAGTGGATTAGACTCGGTTGCACCCCTAGTCATATCCCAAGTATTCCAACCAGCTATATATATATATATATATATATATATATAAAATATAGCCGTTCACCATTCTTCCATATTAAATGTCGCAATCCAAATATCCCAATTATATGAAAAAGAATTGATGCAGGACTACATAGATGAAATGCAATTTAACTCAAATGGATTTTGCACAACTTATGATTAGAATAATTTCTAGAATAAAATTACATGGTGAGAGCTTTGAAAATTTCCAAAATAATTAGAAAATAGCACAATGAATAATAGTAGCTTTCAAAATAATCCCTAGTCTAACAATGAGAATCGGAAAGCATATGGGTGCGCTCAAATCCTAAGATTACTAAGCTTAAGTAAGAGCAATGTGGAAGAGCCCGTTGTGACTGCAATCAAGTTAGACTAAAAGATATAAGATGCAAGGGGGAAGAGGAACATTCGTCAAGGGGTAGTGGAGATCCTCCACTCGATGCCTTTGAAGTGTTCGTCGATAGCTTCCACCAAAGTATCTAGGATCCACTCCAAGTAGTCGTCAACAGTGTGGTCAATCCTCGGATTCACGTCAAAGAAAGTTGATCGTAGGATGTCGGTGAAGCCGTCTTCGTCCCACGTCAATCCGTATTCAGTTTCCGGATCCGCCATTCATGGTTGCTAGGGAGCAACTCTATTCTTTGTCTTGCTAGGGTTCTTGAGATGAACGAGGAGAAAGAAGTTTCTCTTTGATGATGAGGGATGAGAACTAACAATCCAAAAATCTGAAATAAGTTTCATATTTTTTTGTTGGGTGAGAAAGTTAATTGAGAGAGGGGAGATATAGAGAGAGAGAGAAGCGGTTATGGGGGAGAGGGGGCCGGCGGCTAGGTTGAGGGAGTGGATTTAATTTGTTTCCTAAAGCAATGGGCTCTCTTTGGAAATAAATTAAATCAAAGGAGGTGGAGAATTCAGCTAAGGGGGTGAGGGAAAGAAAAATTAAATATTTCCCAAAAGGCTTAGGAAACAATTAGGAAATAAATCACAATTGCCCATATAGGGGGCCGGTGGCATGCATGGGCAAGGAGGGAATTGGGGAGAGAATTAGGAGTTCCTAATTTAGGATTTAGAAATAAGGAAAGAATTAATTAAATCCAATTTGAATTTAAAATTCAAATAGGATTAATTTTGGTAACTTTCCAAAAATAGATTTGGATAAATTTAGAAAGATTTCAAATTCAAACTAAAGGAATTTGAATTTTAAAATTCTGTCCCAAAATATGTTCATCCAAATTAGGCAAAGGGATTCAATGGGGTAAGGAGAAGTGAGGGCCGGCGGCTATGGGGTTGGAGCCGGCGGCAATGGGGATTGGTTGGATATTTGGCCGTGGGGATGGGGAGGAAGAAGGGGTTCGGTTGGGGGGTGCGAGCAGGAGGTTAAAGAACGAAGACCACGAACCCAACCGTCTCCAAGATTGGTGGGTGGTGCGCAAATATCCCTCTCCTAGGGGTCTCTCTCCATTAGAACTCACAAGTTCTCACAAAGCTCATGCAAGAAAAAAATTTCTAATTAATCATTCATTCATTAACCTCAAAAGAAAATAAGGAGGGCTATATAAAGCCTCATACAAAGGACTCAAAAACAAAAGACACAAATGCCCATTGGGCTTACATACGACATCCCTTCATAAGAGGGTACAACGGGAAACTAAAGAAAGAAAATAAAATGCGACAACATAAATAAGAAAATACATATGAAAATAAAAAATACAAAGACTCGATCATGGCCGTAGATCGGAGGCCACGCCTCTGGTAAACCTTCCATGATCTGATGTCCCCATCAAGAATATAACAATATTCACTTTATTAGAGTGTCCTATTAATCAGTCTAGCAAAAAGTGTCCCATTTTACACTTGGTAATCACCCTATTGTCACCCTCATCATCAGTCATAACACAATAAAAAAATGCTTTGCTAAGAAATTCCCCAATCCATCATTCAAGGATTTATGGACTGACATGGTTTTGCCATCCTAGCAATATAAGTACACAGTGGGATCAGTAGGAGAATGTCTTGCCAGTTTGAACTTTTTTTATTTATTTTTTAATTCATTACAATTTTGATCCATATTTATGGATCAAAAGTATATTAATCATCTTCATAGTTCTTTAACAGCACAGAATAAATTAACTTAAATGGGATAAGCTCAAAGAAGTACCTGCAACTTTACTCCTGCTGAATCGAGATAGCATAATCCATCAATAAAACTTTCCTGCGGATGAACCCAATCAATATTTGCAAAATCTCTTCGATTATTTTGATCTAACATTGCTTTCAACAGAGAAGTTTTCCCAGCACCCTGAGATCATCCAAGTATTCAGATGTCAGCAATTTTGCTATCCAAGAACATTCAAAGCAGATACTCCCTCTCTAGACAGGGAAGATATACCTGAAGCCCAAGAAGCCGCACTCGACGAACTCTAGCATGAACCTGCTTTGGAACAGAGATAAAATCACTGGTGCAGTACACAAAAAAATCTGCTAAACCATCAATACTTGAAATTTTGGATTTCTCATCTGGTTTAGTATCAATGGACTCCGCAGCTGGATAAGAAAACAGAGGCAAAATTTCATCGGCAGGATATTTTGGTGGCCTTTTCAGTGGAGCGCCAATCAGAAGACGCATCTTCTGTAAATCAGGTTGTGCAAAAATGTTTGATGAGTATGAGGGCATTGTCGGTAATGTCTCAACCGCAGTTGAACACCTAGAAAAACAATGGAGAAATCAATAACTTTCAATGATATCACTGAAGCTTATATTTAGACTGAAGATTTACTCGAGTGAATGAAGATACTATCACAACACTGAGAGTTAGTGCTAGAATTTTATTTAGCTAAGCTCGCAGAAAACCTCTAGGTATGAGGCAAATAATTCAAGATCTTTTAGGTCAGAAAATTCAAAATTGTAGCTTATGGATGACTAAATCATTGGAGTGGTCATAGTGCAGAATAATGGGCAGAACCAAACAAGGCTAGGAAAGAAAATGTATAAAGGAACAATGAATAAAAATATCATGTTTATAGCAATATACAAATTCAATTTAAATTAAATCTGTAATATATTAAGCACGAAAGAGTATTCAACAGTTACACAATTAGTATAGCAAGCATGCAACAAGTACAGACTAGTTTTTTGTCAAAATACCATTAGTATAGCATACATGCGCCTCCGTAGCTTGCACACTCTTTAAAATAAGCAAAAAATAATGGAAGTAGGCACATTCACATAGAAGTGATATAACCCAAGGGAAATAATTGAAATGCACAAATGAATATTAAAAGTTGAGTTCATGTAAAAGGTTACTTGGCACAACCAACTATTCTAAAAGCTCCAATTGATGAAGAAGATGCAAGCTCAGGATTTGTAGCCAAAGTTTATGTTGTCCTTTACCCAAGGATGCACGGCTAATCCACTCCACCAATGAGTCTATCAATTGTGGTTGAATACACCTCAAATCAAGTGTAGTCATAAACAAAAGTCTCGAAAAAAATTGCTAACCCACCCTTTTTAATACTCCATCACTCAAGCTCATTGGACACCCAATTGTGAAACTAGTGCTTCAAATAAGCAACCTACCTTAATATCATTTTTCATAAGACAACAAAGCGTGACTAACCATCCCAAAACCAAAACCAATGGAGAACACACAAGGCATTAGATCCGAAGGCCCAACTATACCCTACACTGATGTGTAGTGAACTCAAACTACTCGACTCAAGCATTAATCAAAATTACCCAGCAATGAACCCTCGTGTTCGATTTGAGTAAATACAGTAAAAAATGGCAATCTAGTGATGTGAAGTTGCACAAAACACCCAAATGCAATACACTGAGAAAATGTGCAAATACAGTATACAAATACACCGAAAAGCGCACAAGTGCATTGTGCAGTTGCATTAAAAAACCTGCAAGTTTATTAAGAGGTATATGAGTACACTATGCAAGCGCAATAAAAATCACACAAATGCATAGTGTAAACACATCAAAAAATGTGCATGCCATATAAAAGGAAAATTGAAATTCCCCACATATACTTCAACAAACGTACTAAACACTCGAATATAAAGTGCGAGAATGTTGTACATGGCTAAAAGAAATGTGAACCACAATCATCTTTTTGAAACATGTACTCCGACAATACATTGAACTCAAAATTTTGAGGTCCAAGAATGCGGAACATGTAAGAATAATGAGTATGGATTAGACCTGATCCTCTACTAGTTGAGAGAGTTGACAAAGTCAAAATCAAAACGAAATGTTTGAACTCCTCGATAATATTGTGTTGAAAGAAAATCTCAATCGAAGGATCTCATTCTTAAAATCAAAATTTCCTGGTACAAATATAAATACTTCAACTGACTTCAATATCACATCAATAATGACTGTTTTTTTTTTAAATAAAATAAAATATTAACCGAAGAGAACCTTATTTTCAAAATGCCAGAACTCAATCCTCTGTAAGTAAATTAATAGAGTTGACAAAGTTCAAATGAAAAAAAATGAAATATTTAGATAACCCAATGATGGTCATATTTATAGCAAATCTCAACTTGAGGGAATTGTATATATATAATATCTCCAAATTCTAATGCATATTATTTCGGGGTCAAATTTAAATAAAATAGAACCTCAAAATTTAACAAAAAAATCAAATATTCAAGTAAAATTTACACTTAAAGTTTTAAAGCAAAAATTTATCCACCATTTGCAACTATTGTTGAAGGTAATAAATTTGAGGATAACCTTAGCTCACCAAGGACCAATGTCTAGTCGAGCATATCACTAAGATTCATTATCAACAATCTCTCGTTAGTAAAGATGTAGCAATTTTCCTCCAAACAATGGCTCTATTCTCAAATAACATCACAAACAATTACGAATATGACCCTCTGGCTGGAAGTTTTCTCAAAAAATAACACTATTAAATTGCAATCAGGGCTAAAGACTGCAAGTTCCCAAATGGCTAAACCTCTTGAGTAATGAGTCATAGAGTGCACTTGATAGGACAAGCCCACTATTAACTAAGCCAATCTTAAATTTGTCCCTTTAGACAAACAACCACCCAAAATCTACAAAAGTAATCTTAAACAAAACCACCCTTGGATGCAGACAAATATCCTTCGGTTAGTTAGGTTGACTACCTCATCTGATTAAATAGATCATAGAGCACAACAATCCGGGATAATAGAACCATAGGATCTTGATCAAATTTGTCATCATTTCCTCAACTATCCAATTTAATTACAAAATAGTAAATTTCAAAGTCTACACAAAAGTTATCATTATTAAATGCAAAGCACTTGGTGCCTATCTATTGACTAATCTTAATTGAAAATTATCTCTTGTCATCGAGAGGTAACTAATCATAGAGGCTTACGCCTATGTAAAACCTATAATCATATCATAAAGTTCATGCAAAATGAGGGTGACATCTCTTAGTAGTATCTTATTTGAAATATGATATTACTTCTAAAAATTTGACCTAAAACAATTCTTAAAACTCTCCCAACTAGAGGCTGAGGGCATGAATTTTAGAAGCCTGTGATAATAAGAGACAAGATTGCAACAAATTGATTCTCCATGAATTTACAAATACAAGAAAATAAGTCTCCATCAATTAAATATCCATCAACATCCTACCAAGTTCTACAATCATTTACCTTGAATATTCACTTCATGTCACCAAAATGATTCATTGCATTATTAGTGTCATGTTATCAGTATGTAGACTATTATAATTATTATGTAATTATAAGTTTTCTCACTCCACAATCCAAAGATTTTTCTATTGAATTTTTTTGGATTTTAAATGTTTCATAGTAAAAACTTCTAACATTGTATAAATACTAATAAATGTTGGAATGAAAGACTAAACCAATTCTCTCTAATTCTTGTCATGGTATTAGAGACCTAAGGTTTTTCTCTATCTTATAGCCCTCATTGTTGCATCATCACAATCGTGTGGTCTTCATTGCTGCGTTGTCATAATCTTATGGTCTTTACAACTGCATTACCACAATCACACAACCTTAATTATTGCAGCATCTTCTCTTTCTCTTCTTGTTTTATAAGTGCAGCCTTCGTCATTGCATTGTCAAAAATATTTCACATTTTTGCAGCCTTCATCACTAAATTACCATAAATCTTCCCATTATTACAACCTTCATCGTTGCATTGCTATATTTTATTTTCCTTTTCTACTTTTTCATATGAACAGAAATACAATTTCGCCTTTATGGATAAAAATAACAATACCCATGCACATTTGGTTTCAGGTTCTATTGGAATTAAGTGATGCAATATAAATCTAACAAAAGAGTGGCAATATATCAATTCAATATACCGATTAAATGGTAAAAAAACCCATATAAACTAGTCATAATTGATTCATAGGTCTTTAAAGGAAATGAGAAAATTGAGTCCTATACAAGACAAAGAAAGACAGGCTTTCTAGGATCACCTAAAAAATATCGATAGTATGTGAAAAACTTGCTTATATTCTCAACAAAGGACAATCAAGAAAAATATTTTAAAAATTGACATGCAAGCTTGGAATGGACAACATTTGTTCATTTGATTAAAGTAGAGCATATAAAAAATCAATCTCCATCAATGTTCCACCAAGCTCAACAATCATTCACCTTCCTTATTCGCTTTATGCCAAATTGTCACCTCAATGATTCGTGGTATTATTAGTGCCACCTCATCAATTAAGGGACTACTGCAATAACTCTCTCTATATATTTTTTTTTTCTAACTCATTAACCCATAGATTATTATAATTATCATAAAATTATTATTGCTTGGTTTTGAATATTTGATATTAGCTCTTCCAGGATTGTATAAATAATACACAAATGTTGGAATGAAATACTACACACACACACACACACATAGAGAGAGAGAGAGAGAGAGAGAACATAAAAAATTAAGAAAAAACAGCATTATTGCATACCATTTGCCATTTACTTGAGCTTGAAATAAAGTACACATATGCAGTCCATGGCCAATAATATCAACTTTAAGTGGTTCAGCATTGTTATTGGCAGGCATACCACTCCATCCAAGGGGAAGGATGGATGTCGCGGTCCGTATGATAGGAGGATCAACAATATGACCAAGTTCTACATCACCGGCGGCTCTCAGCCCAAGCAACTGCTGCAAATGTGGAAATTGTGGCAGCTGTTCAATACCAAGAAATGAAGCAGCATTTATGCACATGCATTGCTCATATATTCTGCAAAAGCAAATCATGAAAGGGTTAGTAACTATTTCAAGCGGCAGAAGATAGAATCTTCTTAATTAGACGGCAATTCAAATTCATTAAGAAGCACAGTCTAACAAGAATCCCCTCAACATACATGCACAATACGTAGGCATGTAGCTGTAACAGTAAAGAAAATAATTGGACTGATAGATGCAGCATTGGTATTATCATTTTGGTAATCATAGTTTCCTAGCAAATAAAGACTAGAAAGCTGCTACGGATTGACACAAAACTCATAACAACTATAAAAGCTTTATTTGACAGTTGTTTAGTCCATTTTTATTTGAAAAACAGTGATGATAATTGTAGGAGATTTTATTTAGAGATTATTTGGTTAACTTATTTCTGAAAAATAATGTACATCTTGGTTGCACAACAAAAGGAGATAAATATCTCTCTCCTATCCATGCATGGCCATCAACTCAAATTTCAGACAAGCTTCAGGAATATTCTAGAGTACATGGAGAACATTCAAAAACATATGAAGAAACTTAAGAGGTAAAACAAATTAAGTTAAGAGCTTATACGCACCCTGCACCATCCGTGTCTGTAAGATAGAAGTCACCAAGGCAAGCAGGAACTATGATTGATGTATTTTCTTCCAAAATCATAGTTAGATATGACCAAACAACTTAAAAATGTCCAACATGATCAAGACACGCTCAACAAGTGCAGGAAAACATATAGGTATTTTGATAGGAAATAGCCACCAAAAATAGAGAAAACTGTTGCAATCACTGTGCAAATTTTACAAAATTTATAGTAATAATCAAGAAGAAAGCTCTTGAAATTCAATAATAGATGAGAAGAAACAACCCGATATAACGAATCTTCAATTCCAGAGGAAGATTCAGCTCTCCAAATCTCTAGCCAAAGTCTAGAGCCCAAAACCAACACCAAGATCTCAAATTTTAGATTTAATTCCCCGAACCCTAGCAAGAAGAAACTAATTAAAGCAAAAGGATAATTTATTAATCCCTTAACAGCCCCTAATTTGAATTTTCTCTCCAACCCAAAGCATCATTAGTGAATGGGCCCCATCCAATCAGCAGCCCCCCTCCCTAGTTTAGTCCCCCCTTTGGCCCACCACCTGTAAATGTGAACCGGTCAAGGATGGACTAGTTCAACTGGCCCTTGGGCTGGTCTAACATTACCTCCCTCCCAAAGATTCAAATTGTCCTCAATGTGAAATGAAGGAAATTGATAATTCACCCTCTCATACGGTACTACTAACTGCATGCTCCCCCTGAGCTTTTCTCAACTGTGACACATGGAATACTGGGTGAATTGGCCAATCAAGTTGCGTTCCTTCAATAACAAAGGGTTATAATGATGGAGATGTTCATAAAATATATTCAAATGATTGATCATGAACTAGAATACAAGGAAGATTGATCACAAAAAAACCAAAATCTCTTCGTGATAACAAGATTCTAGTGAAAGTTTTACAATGCGAGAATATGAGATGTATATCTCAAACCTTCTTTTAGAGGACAACAACAACCTTTTGAGGGGGTGGTTCTATCAGGCCAAAAAAAGCTCAACACTTGGGTGAATTTGCTCAAAACCTAATTCAATCTCTATGCCTATTATTTCCAATAGAATGTTTTTTTGCTCTCCTTAAACTCACCAAACACGCATTGATGTGATGAAGCACACCTCTCTGACATATGTGACACATAACCTAGGGGTACTTCAAGAAGTTGTTTCGACAAGAATTCTACCCTCTGTGATATGAAGAACAAAGATTAAGTGGAATAGTTTATGACAATGATAAGAACAAATCATGCAAATTTATACAACATAATTCAAGAGACAAGCTAACTGTATTCAAAAAGTACATTGTGATGCTACATTATGGTTCTCCAACGAACTTATGATTTTCCCCATCAAAAATCATGGTTGAACAAGCATGTTTTTCATGGCTATCAACAGAAAGAACAAATAAAACTTTTGATGACAAGAGAAGGGAATCTAAAGCTATCAAGAAAAAAAAGTGGCACTGGAAGGCTTTCATAAAGACAACTCCACAAATTCTTCAAAAAATAATCTTTATTGAGATTATTGCCGGCATAATTGAGCAAAATGCTAGAAACTTCATCTAGAACTCTTCCCAAAGATATTCAAGAAGGATATCAAGGGATGGAAGATGGTTAGTACAGTGAACTAGAATCAATCACTAGAAACAATGAGTTAACCAAACTCAAGCATTTCCTTGAAGGCATTGCCAAAAGAGAAAGACCCAAGTATATCTGTCTCCGTTGTCCCTTGACACTTGATCCCACAGTCAGTATGGGGAATTTGTGGGAGACTAACTAGATGACACCGATCTCCTTCCATATTTGGGTGGCTGATTTAGGAAGGATTATATTAAGGTACATAATTTTATAATTACTTGTTTCTTTATTAAGATATCTTAAATAGATCTATAAATAGGGATAGTTTTGTGCAATAAAATTAAGAATTTTCCCTCTTCAATTATCTGAATTTAATATGGTATCGGAGACTTCATTGCCTGCCAGAATTTTGAATTTTCTTTCTACTGTCGTGCCTTCATTGTTGGCCTTCCTTTGAGAAACAAGAGGGAGCGTGGGAGAGACCGAATAGTCAGATCCCTATGTGTTTTTGGCCGAGCAAGTGAGAAAGAAGGATAGAGCAGCTTTCTGTGTACATGAAATCGAGCGAACCGAGTAGTTCCTATGACCTAGGAGTCGATCGGGCGAAACGATTGTACAATGGACCTGCGTGTGCGGCTTCTGCGTATGAGTCGGACTTCCTTCTCACAAGCATGTGTTGGTGTCGAGCAGAGAAGTTTGTTCTTGGCGTGCGACTAGAAGCTTCATCTTCACCTCCTTAGACCGATCAAATAGGAGACGAAGCCTATATGTGCATACGCCAGTGTTAAGCCAAAGTAGAAATATGTTCTCTGTGTGTGACCGATTCAGAAGCTAAAGTGGCTTCTTTGTATGTAATCTTGGACGAACCAAATCGAGTGACAGTTCTCGTGTACAAAGTCGAACTGACCATATAGGAGACGAACCAAAGAATAATTAATCCACTTTCTAGTTGTCTCACCATCGGCCTTTATTGCCATTATCGATATCATTGCCACCCTGCACCTTGCGGACTTTGCTGATATAGCCTTCACTGATATCCTTTGACACCGCAATATCTGAAGCTAATTCCTCCCAAAGCTTTGACCAAATAGAGAACTCTAAGGTGCACCAATGAAGAGAAAACCTCCAAAACATGCAACATTCCTATCGTTTAAATGAAAAAAAAAAATTACTTGGAAGTGGTCTCAATTTGTGAAGACCTACTTGAAAGGGAAAAGAAAGATGAATCACCTCTTTAGGATATGACCAAAAGAAGGAGACCCTCATTTTTGGGCATGGGATGAAGCAAACTCCAAGATTGTCATAGTTGTGGAATTTCATGACTCCAGAAATTAGTGATACTTTCATGTTCCTATCTAGTGCAAAATATATATGAGATGCCGCCAGGAAAACCTTCTCAAAAGTTCAAGATGCTACTCAAATCTTTGAAATTAAGGTCAATGTGGGAAATACAAAACAAGGCAGCAGAACCATGACTGAATATGCCACTCCCCTTAAAAATTTGGGCAATAACTTAATCACTACATATGCATAGAGACCAAGAGTTCAGAAGATGCTGCTATCCTCAAATTCTTTATTGAGAAAGATGATGTATGACTTTCTTGCAGGATTAAATATAGAGTTTGACTATGTTAGAGTTTAGATCCTTGGCAAAAAGAAGACACATTCACTAAATGAGACCATTACCTCATTCGTGATGAAGAAAGCAGACAAGGGGTAATGCTAGAACCCATGGTTATTGAAGATTCAACAAATGGTGACAACTAAAGAGGCGTTACGGAAGGAAAGAGACAAGGATTTTTCAAAACCCAAAGACAACAACTCCCTTTAGTACAGCTATTGTAAAAATCAAGAAACACAAATGAGACATGCTAAAAGTTACATGAAAAGACCCCAAGTAGTGGAATCAAAGAAGTGGACAAAAAGGGACATCACAAGCTAATACTACAACAAGTCAGCCCAACTCAGAAACGCAGTCCAACTTCAAAGAGCTCAACAAAAAAGATATTGATAAGCCAAAACAACTACTGGTATCCCTTAAAAAACCATCTGCATCTTCTTCTCTTGTACTTTCATGTAAGTTTCCTATATTCAGTGGATTAAGTGTCTCTAGAAATCATTTGAAAAATTTATGGATCACTAACTCATGAGCCATAAATCACATGACACACTCTACTACTCACTTCATCAACTACACTCCTTGCCCAAGTGATGGAAAATCATCACTGTAGATGGTTCTCTTATCACAGTAGCAGGCCAATGAGACATCCTTATCTCCTTCTCTCACTCTCAAAAATATGATCCATTTACCTCAATTATTCCAAAACTTAATCTCCAAACAAAAACATACCAGTGACCATAATTGTCAAGTCTTATTTAATCTCACTTGGTGCTTATGTCAGGACTAGGGATCAAGAATAAAGATTGGACTTGCTAAGGAGAGAGATCGATTGTACTACCTAGAAGAGCTGAACAAATCCACTATTATCAATAATGGCTATTTTATGTTATCCCTATTTAATACAAAATTTACTATTTGACATCATTATTTTAGATTAAGACATCTATCTTTTGATGTATTAAAAAATATGTATCCAAAACTTTTTTATAAGTTAAAAAATGAATATTTTCATTGTGAAACTGGTGAATTAGACAAATAAGAACAAGTTTCTTTTCCAAACAAACATGAGAAATGGCATACTCCCTTCTACCTTATTCAAAGTGATATTTGGGAACCCTTAGAAATCCTTAATATCTTAGGGGTTTGATGGTTGATATCATTCATTGACGACTGCACTCGAGTTTCTTGAATCTTTCTCCAAAAAAACAAATTTGATGTTAGCAATCTCCTCA